GCAAGCGTTAACATTGACAGCATTTGTTAGCAGTATATACAATAAAAATCTCATTATTTGAATGTGTGAACATAGACCCTCTCTATGAATGAAAACTTTATACCTTATCCGTCTTCTGCGCAGTTTCTTCATATTGCGTTTGTACAGAATAACACAAAATTAGTAAAATAACAAATATTGCAGTACGAAATATCTCCATGCTGAGCCTTTTTTGCACTTCCTGATTTCCCTACTTGAGAATCCTTGTCCAATGAATGGACGACCTTAGCACACGTGTGGTTTTGTTTACAAATTTTGGTTCACTTGCAAAAAGAGCAGTGTGAAAGCGAACCGTACCAAAAAAAAAAAAAAATTATTATTTGGTCCGGACCAAAGCAAGTGAACTATAGGACTTTCCTGGTGTGAATACACCCTTAGACAGTATTCTAGGTTATTACGTGAGGAAGCTTTTTGTCTAATAATTAGAATCTCTCTTTTTTTCAGAATTTAGTAGTAGGGAAATTACTAGTCATCCAGTTTTTTATATTAGCTATGCATTCCGTTAATTTTGTAAATTGGTAAGTTTCGTCAGTGCATGAAGAAAAATAGAGCTGAGTATCATCAGTATAACAGTGAAAACTAATGGCATGTTTCCTAATGATATCTCCTAAGGGTAACATTTACAGAGTGAACAGCAACGGTCCTAGTACTGAGCCTTGTGGTACACCATACTGAACTTTTGATCAATAAGACATCTCTTCATTTACTGCAACAAACTGATAACGGTCAGATAAGTATGATTTAAACCATGCTAATGCAATTCCACTAATGCCAACATAATTTTCGAGTCTATTTAAAAGAATGTTGTGGTCAATAGTATCAAATGCAGCACTAAGATCGAGTAACACTTATAGAGAGATACAACCACGATCGAATGATAAGAGCAAATCATTTGTGACTCTGATGAGAGCTGTCTCAGTACTATGGTACGGTCTAAATCCTGACTGGAAATCCTCGCAGATATCATTTCTTTCTAAAAAGGAACATAGTTGTGAGGATATTGCTTTTTCTAATATCTTTGACAGAAAAGGTAGATTCGAGATCGGCCTGTAATTGACTAATTCTGCAGGATCAAGTTGTGGTTTGTAGTATCACTGTGAGTATCACACTCACAGGTGTCTAGCATTCAATACAGAAATGTTTCTGAAACTTTACTAAGTACATAATTTATTCTTAATGGTAATGCAAAGTGATAGTTTTCTTTCAAACTGTAGATTTCAAACCTTTATTTTTGTTGCATTTGTTGGTTAATAAAATGTAACTACTAGTTGTTGTTTTTTGTTACTAGTGTAAAATATATAATAGGCATATAATATCTCAATATTCAGGCCACTGAATCTAACCAAAATCATGCAATCCTATTACGTGATTGGCTAGTTACTAAGCGCAGGGGGTGGGTCTTGAAGAAAAAAATCCCACTGAATTAAATGTGAACCTTGAAATGTATTTTGTTTTTCTTCCCATTTTAGTCAACCCAATATTATTACTATGCTGACTGGCAGTCTTCTGTAATAAAGGCAGGCAGGCAATTTTTGTTCCTATTTTTAATATAAAAAATAAAATAAAATTGAATATTGAATATCGTGCAAAAGTTTGTGTATTTCAGTAAGTCAAATTAAAAGGTGAAACTAATATATTTAGTATATATAATTATATACATATGCATGATTATACTTTTCAGAGGGCCAACATTTCTGTATTTAAAATCCTTTTTTTATTGATTTCATGTAATATTAAAATATTCTGAGATTTTGAATTTGGAGTTTTCATAAACTGTAAGCCATAATCATCAAAATTATAACTTTTGCACGATATTCAAATTTTTCGAGTTTCACCTGTATACTGTTACACATCTTATTCTCTCCTTTTTTTTCTTTTTTTTTTAAAACGCTTTACGTCAGCGTAGGACATAACAGGTGGTTTACATGAAAACTCCCAAAGTCACTTTGTGAAGAAATACTACGCCTGCACACATACACATTCTTCTACACACTAAACAATACATTTCTATTGGTTGCAGTAGTGGTGCAATAAATCTACACTTTGATGGAGAAGCGTTAATAAAAATCACCATTTTCACACATTTGAATTTATGTAGTTTACACATTTAATAACGTTTCTTTTTCAAAAAACTTGCACTTTTTAAACAAGTTTTCAGGACCCCTAAACACAATTGGCATGTAAAATAAACAGCCCAGATACTCAAGTTTCCCTTTTTCGATGAAAACTGTCATGTAAAACCCCCCTTAGAATAGAATTACAAGGACTACAAAAGTCAACTTCCACATTTACAATGGCATGAAATCACCTTTGTTTTGAACAGAAGAATTTTTGGTAACATTTTACAAAAAGGTTCATTAATTAACATTACTACCTTAGTTAACATGAACTAAGAATGAACAATACTTCTACTGCATTTATTAATCTTATTTAATATTGATTTCAAAATTCACTAATACATTATTAAAATCAGAGGTTTTATTTGTTAACATTAGTTAATGCACCGTGAACTAACATGAAGAGCTGGATATATATTAACTAACATTAACAAAGATTAATAAATACTGTAACAAATGTATTTTTTAGTTAATGCACTAACTAATGTTAATTACTGAACCTTATTGTAAAGTGTTGCAGATTTTATTTTTTATTTTTTTAAAGAAGCACTTTTCCAGAAAGATAACTGGTTTTATTGACTCAAAATGAGATCTGAAAGTGGCAGATGTAGAGACGGACAGATCTACTATGAGACTTAAGAGCACAAGCATTCAGTCAACTTCCCATCAACCTCAGTGGGGACATGGCTGGATTCGGTCAAATTCCAATCCAACTCAGCAGGGACTTGGCTGGACTGTTCACCTGGGACATGGCTGGATTCTGTCAACTTCCAATCCAACTCAGCAGGGACTTGGCTGGACTCTTCAGCTGGGACATGGCTGGTCTCAATCATCTTCCCATAAACCTCAACAGGGATAGATCTTGACTCTTCAGCTGGGACATGGCGGGTCTCAGTCAACTTCCCATCAACCTCAGCGGGGACTTGGCTGGACTTTTCAGCTGGGACATGGTTGGATTCTTTCAACTTCCCATCAACCTCAGCTGGGACATGGCTGGATTCGGTCAAATTCCAATCAAACTCAGCAGGGACTTGGCTGGACTGTTCACCTGGGACATGGCTGGATTCTGTCAACTTCCAATCCAACTCAGCAGGGACTTGGCTGGACTGTTCACCTGGGACATGGCTGGATTCTGTCAACTTCCAATCCAACTCAGCAGGGACTTGGCTGGACCCTTCAGCTGGGACATGGCCGGTCTCAATCATCTTCCCATCAACCTCAACAGGGATAGATCTGGACTCTTCAGCTGGGACATGGCGGGTCTCAGTCAACTTCCCATCAACCTCAGCGGGGACTTGGCTGGACTTTTCAGCTGGGACATGGCTGGATTCTTTCAACTTCCCATCAACCTCAGCTGGGACTTGACTGGATTCTGTCCTATTCCTATCCACCACAGCAGGGACAGGGCTGGATTCTTTCAACTCCCCATCAACCTCAGCAGGACCTTGGCTGGATACGGTCAACTTCCCATCAACCTCAGTGGGGATAGGTCTAGACTCTTCAGCTGGGACTTGGCTGGATTCTGTCCAATTCCCATCTACCTCAGCAGGGACAGGGCTGGATTCTGTCCAATACCCATCTACCTCAGCAGGGACAGGGCTGGATTCTGTCCAATTCCCATCAACCACAGCAGGGACAGGGCTGGATTCTGTCAACTTCCCATCAACCTCAGTTGGGACATGGAAGGACTCTTCAGCTGAGACATGTCGGGAGTTCCCATCAACCTCAGGGGGGGCATGGCTGGATTCTGTCAAATTCCAATCCAACTCAGCAGGGACTTGGCTGGAGACGGTCAACTTCCCATCAACCTCACTGGGGATAGGTTTAGACTCTTCAGCTGGGACATGGCTGGATTCTTTCAACTTCCCATCAACCTTAGCAGGGACTTGGCTGGACTCTTCAGCTGGGACTTGGCTGGATTCTGTCCAATTCCCATCTACCACAGCAGGGTCAGGGCTGGATTCTTCAGCTGGGAAAGGGCTGGATTCTGTCAACTTCCCATCAACCTCAGTTGGGACATGGAAGGACTCTTCTGCTGGGACATGTCGTGACTTCCCATCAACCTCAGGGGGGAGACAGGGCTCTCCGGCGCGGACACGGCAGGGCTCTCCGGCGCGGACACGGCAGGGCCCTCCGGCGCGGACACGGCAGGGCTCTCCGGCGCGGACACGGCAGGGCTCTCCGGCGCGGACACGGCAGGGCTCTCCGGCGCGGACACGGCAGGGCCCTCCGGCGCGGACACGGCAGGGCTCTCCGGCGCGGACACGGCAGGGCTCTCCGGCGCGGACACGGCAGGGCTCTCCGGCGCGGACACGGCAGGGCTCTCCGGCGCGGACACGGCAGGGCTCTCCGGCGCGGACACGGCAGGGCTCTCCGGCGCGGACACGGCAGGGCTCTCCGGCGCGGACACGGCAGGGCCCTCCGGCGCGGACACGGCAGGGCTCTCCGGCGCGGACACGGCAGGGCTCTCCGGCGCGGACACGGCAGGGCCCTCCGGCGCGGACACGGCAGGGCTCTCCGGCGCGGACACGGCAGGGCTCTCCGGCTCGGACACGGCAGGGCCCTCCGGCGCGGACCCGGCTGGATTCTGTCAACTTCCCATCAACCTCAGTTGGCACATGGAAGGACTCTTTAGATGGGTCATGTCGGGACTTCCCATCAACCTCAGGGGGGAGACAGTCGGGCTCTTGGGCGGGGACACGGCAGGGCTCTTCGGCTAAAGAAAATTAGTGTGAAAAAAAGCTGAGATTATCTTTCCTATATAATATAAGGATTATAATATAACACTTATTGCGTCAGTAATTAAAAATAATAATAACAATAATAATAATAATAATATCACCTTTTTGGACAGTTAGCCCAGATGCATTCTGCAAAGACATCAGAACAGCCATATTACACTTCACAACCACTGGCCATGTTTGATTTTGTTTGTTCACACGAAGAAAACACAAGGGGCCATCTAGAAAACAAAAGGTATTATTAAATTTAATACAATAAGTCATCAGGCCTTGTTAAAGTTAACTATGCATAGTGTAAAGAAAAGCATTATATTAACCACTACATAAGGGTTACAAACCTTTGCTCAATAAATGATGCCCAACTGGAAAAGCAAATCCTGAAAAAAAGATGCAAGGTTAAAAAAAAAAGAAGAAGAGAAAGTTACATACATATTTAGAATATTTGAAACATTGCAATAAGGTGAAAACAATATTACCATTGAGCACCAGTTGGTGACACATAAATACTAAAAACATAAAGTTTGAAACTGCCATCTTGATTACAGATGAAACAAATCACCAATCTATCTATTCTTTCTAAACCAGGCTTCAAGCCAGGGCTTTTAAAATAACAGATTTTCGTCACCTGGGTTTCTTGTTACAGTGAAATTAGTGACAGAGGACCTGCTCGTTAACATTCCTGTGCACTCATTGGTTGGTTGTGATTTTCAAAATGTTCAAAGAGGTTTTTACTTTTAGTTTCAACAAGAAAAAGGGGCAGTATCTTTAAAAACATATCAGATTATATGATTTTTCTATTAAACCAGACAAGTATTTATAAGACACAAAAACAAATTAGATGAATAAGGGTGTTTTCACACTGGGCACATTTGGTGCGGTATGATTCCGGTTGAAGAATCACTATAGTTATTTTCAAAATGTTCAAATAGTTTTTGAATTTATTTAGTTTCTACAAGAAAAAGGGGTAGTATCTTCATGAACACGTCAGATTATATGATTTTCCATTAAACCAGACCAGTATTTATCAGACAATAAAACAAAGAAGTTTTCACACTGGGCACATTTGGTCCAATTCCGAGCGTGATTGTTCCTGGTGCCCCCTTCAGCATTGGGCTGGTTTACACTCAATAGCTGGTTTACACTTAATAGCTGTGTCCAAAACAGCATACTCACTAAGTAGGTACTTAATTTCAATAAGTACTTACTTAACGAGTGCTTAAAGGGGTGGTTCAGGATTTTGGACATCGGGCCTCATTTCCAAGTTAGCCTTAGTGTTATTTATCAGTGGAGACAGTTTTCAAAAATTTTCATCCAGTCGTTCCAGTTGCATAGTTCGCCAGTGCTAGGCTAGCACGCGTCAACGGTAACTGCTAGCCTGCCATTAAAAACAGTTTTACCCACTCCACAGTACACCAAAAGCAAATAAATTATAACGCCAGACTATCGATGTAAATGTCTGTTGGAAGAATAATGTTAAAAATCAAACTACTCTTGCATCTCAATGATCGCAATACATTTACAGGAACTAGTTTCTCAGCAGCGGCGGAATTTTCCTTTCCCCCGGTTAGTAGTACTGCGCCGAAAAGTAAACACAGAACCAAAGCGCACTACAGTCGGGACTACCTGCACTACCTCTCTCTCACTACCTCTCTCGGTTGCCTAGGTAACTTAATATCACTCCGCCGCTGCTGTAGACTGTGCTAATAAATACAGGGAACAAAGTATAACTATTGCAATGCAATGAAAGGGTAGTTTGAATTCTAACATTCTCTCAACAGACATTTACATCGATAGTCTGGCGTTATAATTTATTTGCTTTGGTGTACTGTGGAGTGGGTAAAACTGTTTTTAATGGCAGGCTAGCAGTTACCGTTGACTCGCGCTAGCCTAGCACTGGCGAACTATGCAACTGGAACGACTGGATGAAATTTTTTGAAAACTGTCTCCACTGATAAATAACACTAAGGCTAACTTGGAAATGAGGCCGATGTCCAAAATTCTGAACTACCCCTTTAAAGAGTAGGTACTTTATAGCCTGATCTCATTAAGTATGATTGCGAGCCGTACATCATCCACCATGTTGACGTTATCATGTGTCCTATGACGTTATCACAAGCGCAACAACTTAAAAGAAATGAGCGACAGGTTTAAATAATCTATCTGTAAATATCTTGATATTGACGAAACTCATTTTGTGGTCTTGAAGAAACAGCTGCCCATTTGTTTTGTGATGTTGTGTATAACCAATAAATTATGGGTTGATTTAAGTTCTTATATTTTTGTTCTTATATTTTTTAACCCACTAATGTGACCCACAGTTTTATCCTGAAAGATATCATTTATTGTTATGAAACCCCCAAATCGTCATCTTACGGTCTTGGAACGACATGAGGGTATGACATAATTTTCATTTTTGGGTGAACTAACCCTTTAAATCTCCATTGTTTTCCTCTTTTTCTTGTTGAATTTAACTCTCGTTGTATCCCTCAGGATTATAAATAGCAAACAAATAAAATGCATTTTCTTTATGTATTATGATTAAGTAATCAAAGATATTTAACCTCGTCATTGTGATTTTTCCCCCGTGTATATAATCTTATATTATAATTACTCATGATATTTATGGTTTTCGTGTTTTGTTTTTTTGTTATTATGATTGTTCATTGTTGAAAGATACAACCATAGTATCTTTCCCTGATCTTTCTGTAACTATAACAAAATGATATGAGCGACAGGTGCACTAACATCAGTAACTCGACAGCCCTACCTAGAACAGTTTTCCTCAGCGTGGCCACCATGGCCCTATCAAGGGACCCGCAGGCGTGACGTGAAGTGGCTCAGGTTTGGCAGGCGTGACGTGAAGTGGCTCAGGTTTGGCAGGCGTGACGTGAAGTGGCTCAGGTTTGGCAGGCGTGACGTGAAATGGCTCAGGTTTGGAAGGCGTGACGTGAAGTGGCTCAGGTTTGGCAGCCGTGACGTGAAGTGACTCAGGTTTGGCAGGCGTGACGTAAAGTGGCTCAGGTTTGGCAGGCGTGACGTGAAGTGGCTCAGGTTTGGCAGGCGTGACGTGAAGTGGCTCAGGTTTGGCAGGCGTGACGTGAAGTGGCTCAGGTTTGGCAGGCGTGACGTGAAGTGGCTCAGGTTTGGCAGGCGTGACGTGAAGTGACTCAGGTTTGGCAGGCGTGACGTGAAGTGACTCAGGTTTGGCAGGCGTGACGTGAAGTGGCTCAGGTTTGGCAGGCGTGACGTGAAGTGGCTCAGGTTTGGCAGGCGTGACGTGAAGTGGCTCAGGTTTGGCAGGCGTGACGTGAAGTGGCTCAGGTTTGGCAGGCGTGACGTGAAGTGGCTCAGGTTTGGCAGGCGTGACGTGAAGTGGCTCAGGTTTGGCAGGCGTGACGTGAAGTGGCTCAGGTTTGGCAGGCGTGACGTGAAGTGGCTCAGGTTTGGCAGGCGTGACGTGAAGTGGCTCAGGTTTGGCAGGCGTGACGTGAAGTGGCTCAGGTTTGGCAGGCGTGACGTAAAGAGACTCAGGCTTGGCAGGTATGACGTGAAAAAACTCACGGTCTGGGAACCAAAGGACAGGGGTACATAAAACACAGGACTAGCAATCATCAGACCTGGGCATACTGGTGACTGTGATGGGCCAAGGTCGGTGGCCATCGGAGCTTGCTGCATGGTTCCCACCCCAAAGAGTCATCCTCAACCTTCCCAACAGTGAAGGAGGAGCATAGTCCATAAATTTGATGAGTGAACCTCGAGGACCATCACGGATGAGTCTTGTTTGATAGAACTCATTGAGTCCATAACAAAAAAGTCAATAAGGGCAAAATCAGGAAAGTCGGTGAAATGCGCAAGGTCTAGGAAATCTCAGGTGTGGTCCTCGAGTGATTTGTTACCTTGCTGTAAACGGATGAGTTGAACAGCTGGATCAGTGGTGGGTCTGGGTCTTACTCTGCTGCTGGATCTGTGCATGGCAAAGTTTTTCTGTTACGAACTGCTCCGAGACAAGAAGGTTGAGATCCAAATGCAGTTTATTAGAGTAATCCAGAATCATAATCAAACACAGGCAAAGGATCAAACACAGGAAGTCAGTCCAAACAAAGAAACAGGCAGGGGTCAGAGGCAAAAAGTGAATCCAAGAGACAGGCAAAAATCCAAGAGACAACCAGGGAGAATGCTCAGAAATGCAGCGCAACAACATACAAAACTTTGCAGTGAGTGATAAGGTGGACCAGGCTTATATGGTGTGAGCTAAACAAGATAATGAGACACAGATGAATGTGATAATGGACAAAGAGTCCGGGCAGTGAGTTATGGGAAATGTAGTTGTGAGGGAATCATTAAAGTCTGATGTGGAATACACTCTGGTGGCTCTCAAGGGCACTCCACCTGATGAACATTACATAGTCAAAAAGCCACAATTTTAAAGCATTGCAAGGTACAATGTATTCGACTAGTTGAAATTTGCTGTGCTTTATATATAGCCTGGCTCCGCTCTCCTACGTACTTCCACTCAATTTTAATTTTCCGTCCGTACTACATCTGGGTTTGTGGTATATTTGTGGGTTTTCTTCGGTCAATTTTTTACTGGTCCAATCAGCGAACAGAGGGAGTGGCGGAGAACGATGATGTTGAGGTTGTGCGCTAGTTTGAGTCGTCATACGTCACGACCAAACGTTAACGATTGGTTATGGCAGACCCAGAGTGGCTCTAACCAGATCCAATAGTTTTAAACTTCAAAAGAGTACCCGCCTACAAGGAAGTTAACGCTTGTCAATGGAGAGTGTCCAGACTCTCTGTACAAATGAAATGTACGAGAGTCTGGTAGGACCAGACTACTTTATATGGGCCTACACAAAGTGAATGCCTGCAATCATTCAGTCAGTGACGAATGCACAAAAAGTGCAGACTAATAAAAACATTTTGAACTTTAGGAAATGATAAACGGAATGTAGAGGAAGTTCGCGCAGAAACTATATTCACTTTTTTTAAATAATCCATTAAAACTGCTGAGAAACGAGGAGCGTGAACTAAAATTATCTGTTCCACGTGCATACCCAGGAAACTCATGAATATTCATCTAGGCTCCGCCCACTGCCTCTACAGATTCACAACTCACTTTTGCTCCACATTTCACACAGACCAATGGTGCAAAAGGTAGAGCACGCGAAACTTGTCACTTGAAAGCAACAAAGAGTGTTTGAGATTCGTCGCAGCAGATTCAAGCAGTTGTAGTTATGTATTCGTGTTTGTGCTAGAAAAAAGACATCGGTGAGAATATATTCCACAAGTGTGCAACTCTAATTGAACGAATTCACATACTGTTTTAATTATTCTTATTTCTTTTGATTATTTTAATTTCTTCTATGTAAAGCACTTTGAATTACCATTGTGTATGAAATGTGCTATATAAATAAACATGCCTTGCCTTGCCTTACTGATTTGCGGATGAGCTAAATTTCTCCGTGACTTCACATTTTTTGATGTGGGTGTGTGAATGCGTTTCGCACCATATTCACTGAAGCAAAAATGTGAGCGCACAAGTTTCTTAATTTGTGATTTGAAGAATAGGATTTGTGCACCTTGAATGAAAAATTAAAAAAATTCTCTCTGTGACTTTAAATTTACTGATACACATGTGTGGCTATTCTCTACAACTACAAATTCCTTTGTCACAGGCATTCAGTTGATTTGCACCAAAAATATATTCATAGTATTCCAGAAAGCGGGTTATGTGTCATACCCGGATGTGTTTAAGGGTATGTAAGCGGATACTCTCAACTTTCTGTTCCAAAAACGGAGGTAACGTTC